ATAGTACACTTCTACACGGTTGTTTTTAAAAAAGACTCCTTATCGTTTCTCTTTGTTATTGATCGTTGCGTGAAGACCTCTTAATAGCACCCTGGTTGCTAGTGAGTGGTGCATTTCTAACCTCACTCTTGGTTGGTGGATTTTGACCCTTAGCATTGTTAGTGATAGAATCTGTTCCTTCAGCGAACCCTGTGGTGCTATCACGCTTCTGCATTCTCTGTTGATGTTGGTAGGGTGAAGTCGCTCTTACGTGGCATGGTAATCTGTTTTACTCCACGAGAGTGACAATGAGGATGTCTTCCAATAAGCTCAGCCTTGTCGGCTTAAAGAGGATAGTGGCTGTATGTGCGTGATCCACAAACGAGTTTGTAAAAGCCATATGCCTATTTCACGCTGTGACCCTATTGGCGCGCTGTTTTGAAAGAACTATCGTCACTACAGTAAGAAAGTCTTTTAGGAAAATCTGACGGACACTCAATTTGCGTATAGGGATGGCTGTAGTTGCGCAGACGCCTTAATTCAAACACAGTATAACTGTTTAAAGGCACTTGATGATAAGGATTGTAACTATGTCAGCTTTTTGCAATGGATTTTTCAAAAGCCTTTGATAAGGTGCAACACTCATTAGGTGGGGAAAAGCTAAAGGCTCTTTCTCTTAATCCAAATGTTGTGAACTGGTATTTAAGCTTTCTAATGGATAGGAAACAACGACTTATATCTAAGAGCATTACCTATAAATCGCATAGTGTAAACAAAGGAACTGCCCAGGGAAGCGTTAGCGGGCCCCACCTTTTTAATTTGTTTATTCATGATGACAATACCCTCACTAGCATAGTTAAATATGCTGATGACACTACTCTGCAAGTCAAAGTATGTACGAATTAAATAGATCTTTCTCGTGAGGTTGTCAATCAGTTTTTCAATTGGACTCAAGATAATTCCATGGCATGTAATCTTAAAAAAATGTAACGAATTAATACTTTGTAAGAAGGCAGCCCATGATATAGACCGTGTTAACAATATAACGCAAGTTTCTTCTTTAAATGTGTAAGGGGTTACTTTACAAAGTAATCACAGATTTAATGCACACATAAAGGTTAAGCTACAGGAAGTCAATAAGTACCTTTATGTGCAGTGATAAGGTGTTTGCGTAAAGAGGGACACCAACAACCAGATGTAAATTACTTTTTTAGATTCAATAGTTCTACCGAAGCTAACTTATTGTCTTACCATATACACCTCCTCAACACCGGAATTAAGTACGGTCATGAATTTTCTGCAGCGTCGCTGTTTTAAGGTGTTTCGATACAGTTTTTCGGAGACCATGCCGATGTTTTTCAATCGCCTTAAAAGTGATTTTGTCCTTGTTCGATCGCCACAAAATTTTCACCAGTGACTGACTATGAATTGAAGTTTTTCAAAATGTATTTTTTAGTAAAATCGATTTCACTATGACAACAATAAACAAAAAAACTTTAAAATCGGTTAAATCCGAATTTAAAGTGTGGTGTTTAGCAAATAACCTCCGTGAGAAGGAAAAAATTCTGTTTGTTTGAATTCAAATAAAACTTAAATATATTTCAAACCTTAGATTTTCAATAGCCGTGATAAATTGTTTAATAAAAAAGTTCTAAATAACTCAAATTAATCTTAAGTAGCGTCAGAAGGCTGTTTTATAGTTTATTTCGATGTATGGAAATTTTGGTGTATTTCCTTTCTTGCAATCCTGAAAACTAACCTGTTTTCTCACCACCTGTCTAAGTGCAACTTTATTCTGAATTTTGACTTTTAGCGCTTTTCTGTATATCTCTTAAACGGCGCGACAGAATTCTTGTTAAACCCTATCACACAGTCTCCATGATGTATATATTAATGTCTGAGACTTTCACTGAGATTAATTCACTGCAACACTATGAAATTTCAAGACGAATCTAGCCTACTAACGGACCAAAACTCCGCGTTACAACATTCACTGTTTTGACGTTGTGCTAATTTTTCCAAATTGATACTCACCATACATACCTCCAAGGCCAGTACATTTTAGTATGACTTTAATTGCATATTTTGAATGTAAAACATTGTCAATGCTCACATTGAAATGTACTAGCCATACACGACTTTCATAATGGCGGACCCCGCGCGAAACCTGGTTCGAGCGGCGTGAAAACGAGGCCAGAAAGGCCAGCGTCGCGTCGCTTCTCTTGTTGTTTACAACACAAGCACGGCCACAAGCACCGAAAATGGCAAGTACATCGGACAATTCAAGCGATTCAAATGCGATTCCTCTTACGGAAAACGATATTCCCGGCGCTTCTCTACTTGGACGAAAACCTGAGGAGTTGAAAAACTCAGAACTTAACTTCTGGCTGAAATGTCGCGGAGACACAGGGAAAGGTTTTGAAGACAAAAGCGGAGCTAGTGAAACGAGTGTACGAGTACATACGAAGCGGCAAGGACAAACAGATCATAGATCCAGATCCACATAAAATATATAGCCGTAGAAAGCAAAAGCAAGGCACAAGTTCAGAGCTTGTCAAGGAAAGTACAGCGGCTGCAGAGTTTCCAACTACTGGATGGGGAACGTCGTTGGAGAAGATGCCAATGTTCACGCGACTGCAAATGAATCACCACGTGTTGAAGTCCGGGAAAACCATTGGTAATATTGATCATCACACCGTCCCGACGGGGTTGGTAAAGGCCAGGCGCTTCTTAGATGACGAATATCTGGAAGATATTGAATGTGCCAGTGATTCGAAGTACTTCTTCTTCAAAGGGAAGTGCTGTCATAGTTTTCGAAAAAATGACCCCCCACATAATCTGAAAATCGCCTTGTGCATCTTGTCAGGAGAAGTGGAGAGTGCTTCGTGTTCGTGTGTGGCAGGAAAAAGCGGATTCTGTAACCATGTGTTGGCATTGATGTTCAAGATGTGCAAGTTTACGTTATTTTCCTGTAATTCTACCAAGGACCTGATGGAGGAACAGGACCAGCAATCCTCCTTGGCCTGTACATCACAACTGCAGCAGTGGCACAAGAAGGGCGGAGGAAAGAACATTGCACCACAGCCAGTGATGGAAGTGGAAGTTACAAAAACAAAGGATGAAGAATTCAGATTACGTTCTGGCATCAAATCTCTTGTATATGATGCCAGGATGAAAACCACACATAATGTAGCTGCAGAGCAGAAACTAAAGGAGCAGCTGAAACAAATTGACCCTAATATGGGCCTGTCTCAAATGGCTAGTGAACAGATTGATCAGACGCATACTAGACTTGTAGAAACAAAATTTGGCAAATGTCAAGTTGGTTGTTTCTTGTCATACCAAGTTTCCCTGACAGAGGCACACTTTGAGGCCACAGCATCCATTGACTGTGTACCAAGACTTAGCCAAGTAACTAAAAATCAAGCCCTCACTTATCCAAGGTTTCCTCTAAGGGATATTAATGAAATGGCACTACCTGACAATTTGAGTGAGAATGACAACAAACTTATACAATCTTTGAAGTTAGAGGAAAATGAACTCAATGACCTTGAAACACAAACAAGGAAACAAGCTGAATGTACTAAATGGAAAGATGAGCGAAAATTCAGGTTCACTGCCTCTCAATTTCACTTGATTTCTAGACGACAGAGAAATCATGACACTTTTGCAGAACAATTGATCAATCCAAAATTGGTTACTTCAAAACAGTTAGAACATGGAAAAAAGTTTGAATCTGTTGCATTAAGGGAGTATGAAAAGTATATGTTTAACAAAAGTACACCTGTTAAGGTGCTCCCTTGTGGTCTTGTTGTTTCAAAGGGGTGTCCCATTCTCGGAGCTACTCCTGATGCAAGAGTAGTCGACTTCGGCTGCACAGATTACTTTGGCATAGCTGAAGTGAAATGCCCCTACACAAAACATCATGTCACGCCCCTTGATGCTTGTACGGATGAAAAGTTCTTCATGAAACAGACAGGTGACAGGGAGTGCAAACTGAAAGAGGACCACCCTTACTATGCTCAAGTGCAAGGACAAATGGCTGTTACTGGAGCAAAGTGGTGTGACTTTATTGTGTATACCAGTAAGGGTATTTATGTCCAACGTATACCTTTTGACCCTGTGTTTTGGGCTGGATTAGAACAAAAACTGCTTTCTTATTATTTTGATCACTTCATTACCTTTGCATCTGCAAAGTTTTTCCAGGGGAGTTGTCAAGTAAACAACAACAGTGATTGTGAAGTATTGTGCACAGCTACATCAGGTTAACCCTTCAATTCTCAATAACACAGCAAAAATATTTGTCCCAATGACTATGTATGTTTCCTATAAAAGAAATTATGCCAAGTTTCTAAATCCAGCTGAAGAGACACATTTCTTACTCTTACAGTTGTTGAGTGTGCATTTGATATTTTACATGAAGAAAGTAAATAGTGATAACTGTTTGAGAATTCAAGGGGTAGTGATAGATACCATAGTCAGACCTCAAATACAATATTTTTAATGTAACCTTGTAATAAATAGTCAGATCAGCAAAAAAAAGTATTGTCTTTTTTATCTTTGTACCCACTCAACACATAGAGAGACTGAAAGAGGATTGTGTATGTTGTGATTTGATTTTATCCTTAATTTAAATATTATTTTCCATTTTTTTGAAACTCACTCAAACCAAGAACTGTAGGAAGATAAAATTTAAAACAAGGATAAATTTAAAACTCATCATACATATGTATAACTGTTGTGTTACGTTTTAAAAAACCCCACCCTCACCTTATCACCACACAACAAGCACTCTTAAACATTAATGCAGCATTTATCCTAGTCTTGGATTTCAAATATCTACACCGTAACTGAGTTTTTCAAAGCGACATTGAATTTTAAGGGAGCTGTTGTGTTTGTAACAATAGATTTTCAATTAGAATTGTTAATTTTTCAAATACATGGGAAAGTCATATGGATATGATGTTGGGCTGTGCATTGCAACAGAATGCACATACTGCCCACATCTGGTTTACAATTCCCATCTGATGTAATGGAACAACTCTATCCCAGATGTGAAAGTTTTTTATCTTGTTTATGGCACGCTCAACATGAATTCTTAAACTAGCGATTTCCTGGGTGGCTACCACATCCTCTGCAGCCATCTGTGCAGATGCTCCAAGAAAAGGTGGCAAGTTTAAAGTAACTCCCAAAGGCAACAAATCCTGAATTGTGAATCCTTTATCTGCCATAATTGAGTCTTTATCGTCAAATGGAAGCTCTAAAAAACCACTCCTTCGTACAATTTCTCGATCCGAGATTGAACCGGTGTAAAGTTGGCTAATAAATGTGATTGCTCCCCCAGGAGATATACCAACCAAGCCCTTCAATGTTGTGTGATTCTTATAGGAACTGAAAAGTTCTCCATTCAGTTGTAAGCTACTTGGCATTTGGCATCTGATCTCAGTACAGTCAATTATGACTCTTGTCGACTTGTACTTGCTTTTAAAACTTTCAGGCATTGTTGTGTTGATTATTTCTCTGCTAGGCCAAATGCTTATTTGTCCAAACTTAAAGTACATAAAATTGACCCATGTGATAAATATTCTACTCACTGTGGGTGTTGATACATTGAATAAGTTAGCTAAATGATCTTCAGGAAATCCTTGCCTCAGCCTACACATCACCATAAAAAATTCGTCAAGGGGCTTTAAAGATCGAGCTCTCCCCTTTTTCGTTAGTAATTCATCCGTTTGGTCCTCGCTATAATCAGATGTGACGTCAGTGGAAGACCGCCAGAAGGAAATGTTCTCACCTCGCTCCCCTGGATCAAGGTACTCAAAAACAGCCATAAAAGCATCCCAGGTTTGGAAGCCGGAATAAAAAGCAGCATTGGAATCTTTTGACTTTAAGTTTTCAAAGGTAAACAGTCTCTTATTAAGGGCATCATTCCGCCGCTGGGTATCTTGCAACTGACGCTTAAGTTCATCGATTTCTTGTTCTAGCTCATAAATCCTTTTGTTATTGTTGTCAATGATTTCCGTCAAGTAGGCTTCGTGCTCGGTCAAATCAGTTTGTGTTTCTACGTTTTCAAATTGTGAGCTTAAATCCGATACATCTGGTACCATTTCATTTGATAATTCTTCCAAGACAACTGAAGAAGACAATTTCCTTGATGCACTTTTCGAAGCGGTCTCTTCAAAGTGTCTTTCCATCGGCTCCTTTCTTTTACGTGGCGATGTTCGAATCCACGGAAAAACAGAGGGAACAACTCCGTCTTTTAGTTCATTTTTCCCAGCAAGGGATTTTTTTATATCGCCTTCCCTGAAATGTCGTGAGCAAACCCTTGTGCTTTTAGTTACCTTGAAGTATTTTCCTTCTTCTCTCCTTATTGCGTGTAGCCACTTCTTCTTCATCGGGTTCTCGATCGGAAATTTAAAGAATGATACTTTTGTCCCATCTTCTTCTCGATATCCCTTCTTCGTGCATTCTGGAACACAACAATTAGTTGGCATTTCCAATTCTTCGAAGTAACTTAGCCAATTCTACACAAAACAGACCAATTGACCTAATATCACCCTGCTTTGTTTATCTGAAATCTAGCGAATAAGCGAAGGTCAAAGCGAACGTGGCCTTTCTGACCTCGCTCTCATGTGTAACTAATTACCAATCCCGCGCGCCGTCGGCCATTACGAAAGTCGTGTATGGAGGTATGTATGGTGGACATTAATTAATTTCCTTTTATCTCGGATTATTGAATATTGAGTATTTTGGTTTTGAAAGTATTTTCCAGACATGCATGTTTCGAAGGCACATGTGTTTTACCTGTGGACTGAGGTCGGCCCAACCTGAATCAATATTCTCACGGCATAATTAATTAGCTCACCGCAGTAATTTTGTATAATCTGTGCTTATTCCCTCGAAACGCGCATTCTTGTAGCGGTTGTAATGCATTACGCCCCTCAACTATAAATTTGGCCGTGGTCATTTTAATGATTGGTACCCCGGGACCACGGTCAATTTTGGTGACCCGCCCACCTTCCCTGGTGGCGGTTGACAACTTTAGTGTTATCCTAGTTGCACGCTTGTTGGCTCAGCAATCGCGGACTTTTTCCATAATTTAATATTACGCAGTGAGGTAAATGAGTATGCGGTGAGGATATAGTACCAGGTTAACTCTCTCCCTGTAAGTCCCATGACGTTTGCCTAGTTGCTAAGCCTCATTATTCCGCGCGGTCAATGCATTTCGGGTCACGTGTTCCAAGCGAAGAAGTGAGACCGTTTCCCGCCCGTTCGCCTTGAATACGTCACCAAAGTGAGTTGACCGCAAAGGCCTTGGAAAACGCCTTACAGGGACTAGGCACACTTGACGTCACTTATTAAAACTTTTTAAGTACGCAATCTTGTTAACGCAATGTGACGAACTTTGTAATATCGCGTGCAATATTTAAATGCAAAGGTGATTCCAAAATATGTAACAGTAATGATGACGGATGTACCGTCGAAACACAGAAAATTGACAAAAGTTGCATTGTTTCAGCG